TGATGGGAACAGATGCTCACGCACACACACACCCACTCTCACCCACACACACACACACACACACACACAGACACTCACTCACTCACACACACACACACACACACACAAACACATTATCTGTAATACTTTGTTTCTATCATTCATTCTTGTGCCTCTTCCAGTATCTACATGTAGTTCTATACAAGAACATGTAGATTAAATGACTCAACATTAGAAATACAAAGAAGTGTCAATAGCAGTTGTATTTCTACAGTGCATTTATTGAACATTCACACACATGCAGGTCAAAGTCATTGATTTGAGTCGTGATGATCCTACAGTAACGGATCAGAGCGATGTGAGTTTTTTACATTGTGTCCATATTTACATTTTTATTACTGTAACAGTCACAAAAATAAGACTTTTTTACTGAAACCATTAATTCACAACAAAAACTGAAACATACAATTGAAAAAATTAATTTTTCGTATGACAGAAGGCTATTTGAATACGTATGTGTGAAAGTATCTTTATTTGTACAAATACAAAGATTCAAATAATAACAGAAAAAAAGGATCTAATATATAAAAGGATCCAAACACTGATATCTATGGTACTATCAAAAAAGATGAAATCACCTTTTGGACGTAATTTGATGCTTCAAATTAAGATTGCCTTTCATCTCTTGATAGTGGATGGGCGTTTATTGAAACGATTCATTTAAAACACTGATTCATTCACCTTTTTATGACTGAATCATTAAATCAGTTCATTCAAAAATTCATTAAAGTTGGGTTTGGAACATTAAAATAGCGAGTTCAGGAGATCAAATGTGCAGCTGAAGTTAAAGTTGAGTCTCCAGCCAGTGTTTGCCAATCTGAGTCGTAAATTCACGAGTATCAAGTTCTCATCTCTGTCCGTTTCCTTTCTTCCAAATGAGCCGTGTGGATCAGAAGCATCTCTTTCGAGTCGGTCGTGACTACATTGTTCTGAAATCCTCCGAATGTCCTCGCCAGCGCCAGCTGTCCTGTGGAGGAAACGGCGCCGCTGCAGTGTTTCACTCTGAACGATTAGCTGACGCTCAGTAGGCTTGAGTTTTATTGTGCCGTGCAGGTTCTGCAGGTTTGAGCAGGTCCACCTCCATCTGACCAGCGGCCCGCCGGTGACTCTCTCTCCTGGTTTTACGGCGCTGCGCTGGTGCTGGTATATAACAGCTCATTTGGACCTCCCAGAACCCACATCCACGGCCGCTAGCGTCCCACGCCGGCCATCATTCCTCCCTCACGTCAGTGTCGTAAACAGCTTAAACCCCTATTAAAAGCATAAATACCTTCTCAGAGCGAAGTAAGGCATTTATAAAACAACATTTCCTGTCACCATGAATATGATATTGAGAAGCGCATTACTGCGACTGACTCAAATGCATCTGATTTGTTCGTGTGAACGAGCCTCTCGTGAATAACAAAGCGTTTCCAGCAGCAGAAGTGCGTGTTTGTGAGTTGAGCCATTCTGATTGACCGATAGCAGAGAATGAGACGCGCCCCGAGGTGTGTGTGTGTGTGTGTGTGAGAGAGAGAGTGAGTGTGTGAGAGTATGTGTGTCTGTGTAGTGCTTGTGCTGAGAGATGCACAGACATGTGTTACAGCGAATGGTTTTGGGACTCGTCCTCTGAAGGTCTGTTTACTCACTGTGAGTCTGGTGGGTCTGTCGGATGCAGGTGCAGCACAGCCTTCATTCAGTCCACATGAAGACCATCTACAGGCCGAACCTCACACTGTAAACAATGACTGAAACTCATTCACTCGTCCTGATCCTTCACTGACGTCGCTCTGTCTGTCACTCAGGTTATTGAGGTATCGTGTGGGATCTTCAGATGTGCCTCCACAAGATCACAGAGATGTTCTGCTGCAAACCAGCGTGAGGGGAAATGCTTCAAACAGAGAGAGCAGACGAGCGCGGGATGATTCACGGCTGATCTCAGGACGGTGTGTCGCATGGGTTTGTTTCTCACTGCATGTAAAGCGTCACGTGTCGTGTGTTTGTCATGTAGTTTTTCCCATTTGTTTGATTGATGCGACCTACAAATGATGATAATTGATATTTAGGATGTTTTATTCAAAATAATCACTGAGAGCATCACATGACAGAACTAGCCGCAGTGTTCTGAGGTCTGTTGTGTTTGCTGAAGTGTTCTGGGAGACTCTCCTGACTGCTGAGTGGAGTGTTTCAGGCTGTGAGTAGAGACGTGGCTGTACCTGAACTGTTTCTGAAGGCGGGGGGCAGGATGAGCGCATGCGAGGGGGCTGCAAACCACAGCAGGTTCGGCTGACATCCTGCCTCTCTGTAGCTGCTCCGTCTCACTCCAGCTCCTCGCCACCTCTCAGCCTGTTCCAGGTAAACTTCACCTTACCTACAAAACCTCTTTTCTTTAGTTTTCTTTCTGAATGCGGCTCCAGACAGTCGAGCGGATCGGATCCGTGTGTCGGGGCCTTTTGATCGAGCCGTCGCCCCGTGATGTGACTCTTCATCACTTCCTGCTGGAGACCCCAACACAGAGTCAGATATCATTAAAGCAAACCGGCTAGCCAGCAGTCCTGTCATGTGTGTGTGTGTGTGTGTGTGTGTGTGTTAGCAGTTGCTCGAGGCGGCCGCTGGGTCGGTTTGTGGAGCTGCAAGCGGAACTTCACTGGCTGATTGTTCGGGCGGCCATTACAGCGAGAGAGTGTGTGTGTGTGTGTGCGTGTTTTTCTGCTCTAACATTCACACACTTCTGTGGAGGATCAGTGTGTGTGTGTGTGTGTGTGTGTGTGTGAGTGAGAGAGAGAGATTAAAGACCGAGTGTCCAGACACACAGATATGTGCGCTCATAACTGACTGATTAGTGGGTATTACTGATCATTGGACAGCTGACACAACTCAACATGCTCTTTACAGCTAAAATTAAACTGTTTCTATGCTCGTTCTGCTGCTGCTGCTTCGTCAAACCGGGTAAAAGCATCTGATTAATGAATAAATGGAAGAAACAGATCTATATAAGACATCAAATCAAACAGAAATACAGCGTCTCCTGTGTGACAGTGTTTGGAATTCTCTGGAAATGTGTGATTTTTCATGGTTTGAGTTTTTCTTTTCTACACAACCTGTTTACATCACAACCTGCTCTATAAACTGCAGGTCTTGTTTTGAAACATTAAGCATGAATTCAGAAGTTTTTTTAAAAATCATTTATTTGTAAATGACATGTACATATGTGTGTCTATATATACATTTGTAGGTATATATTTATTTATATGTATTTATTTGTAGATATATATGAAAAAGCGTTTTTAAACGTACCAACATCAGAACTTGCTGTACTTCCTGTTGTCTGATAGAGAGTTCATGCAGATATGCTGTGTCTAGTGGCTGATGAATGAACACATATCTGCATGTGTTCTCATCGCTCGAGGATTTCACACAGTTCCCCTCTCAGACCGATAGGCGGCGCTCTTCACTCATTCAGACATTCATCACTGTTTCTGCACGCGGAAGATAACATAAATAACTCTTATAACACCAGAGAAGTCCAGTTGTTTCAGTCGAAATAATTAGGAAGAGTTGATCAAATGAACGCTCACTGATATGTTTACTCTGTTATTCATCATATTCATATCTGCTCATCCACAAACACGAATGAGCTGCTTAACTCAACTCAGTACAGACTAGATTCATGAACGCGATCTAAACAGAATAACACGTTTTTATTTTAATTTAATATTATTATTATTATTAATTACTTTTATTCGTTTCTTTTTTACGATAAAAGCTAAAGGCTAATCTATAATAAATCACCGAATTATTTTTAAAGAAATAGTCTGCTTTATTTATAGCCTATTTATTATTTTTTAACATAAATGAAATCATTAACATCGCAGCAAACGACATAATTCATAATCCTACGTTCATTTTAAATACATTCTGATCAGAAGGTTATGAAGATATTTATATAAAGATACAAAAAACAAAAGAATGTAATTTGCAATATATGTTACTCTTTTTTTTTTGCTAAAACGTTTTTGTACATGTTCCGTTAATTTAGGAAATTAATTAGGCTGCGTGTTTACTGCTATTTAAACTATGCTCTTATGTTGGAAATTAAATGTGTTTTTGACGCAAACATGCTTATGACAGCTGGTTTAGTTTTTAATAACGAACTGGAAATGTTTCAGAAGCAGAAGAGATGAACGCGACTGCAGTTTAATTAAAGGTGTTTTTCAGGTATTAATGTTTAAGGTCAGGTTTATCTGTTGGATCATGACACATCATTAAATTAATCCCAAACAATTAGCCTAATTGAGCCGAACAAAGACGAATCAATAACATCCGGTTTAATACTGATGGTTTATTGAAACATGATAGTTCTGTCATAATTTACTCTCATGTTCTTCAAACCTGTGATTCTCTCTCTTCTGTGAAACACAAGTCATATTTTAAAGAATGTTTGGAACCAAACAAACACTGACTTTAATATTGACAAAAAATTAAAATAAACGAGAGAGAGAGAGAGAGAGAAAAGAAACAAACACAGAGACATTTCTCAAATCATCTTCGTTTTTGTTTCGCAGAAGAAGAAAGCCATACAGGTTTGGAACGATGTGAGGCGAGAAAATCAGGTTTTTGAGTGAACTATCACTTTGAGATGTGATTGAGAAATTAAAGCGTTTCCTCAAGTAATCAGAACAAACTTGACTGCAAGTGTGTGTGTGTGTGTGTGTGTGTGTGAGTGAGTGAGTGTGTGTGTGTGAGTGTATGTGTGTGTGTG